GGGGCATGGGAGTTTGCCCAACCAATCCACATGTGTTTTGTGGATTTGGAGAAGGCTTATGACCGTGTCCCCAGGGGCACCCTGTGGGGGACGCTCCAGGAGTATGGGGTGGGTGGCTTTCTGTTAAGGGCCATTCAGTCCCTTTACCAGAGGAGCGTGAGTTTGGTCCGCATAGCCGGTAGTAAGTCGGACCTGTTCCCAGTGAGGGTTGGACTCCGCCAGGGCTGCCCTTTGTCACCGGTTCTGTTCATCACTTTTATGGACAGAATTTCTAGACGCAGCCGTGGTGTGGAGTGTGTCGAGTTTGGTGGCAGGAGAATCTCGTCTCTGCTTTTTGCGGATGATGTGGTCCTCCTAGCTTCATCCAGCTCCGACCTTCAGCTCTTGCTGGGTAGGTTCGCGGCCGAGTGTGAAGCGGCTGGGATGAGGATCAGCACCTCCAAATCTGAGACCATGGTTCTCGACCGGGAAAGGGTGGCTTGCCAACTCCGGGTCGGGGGAGTGGTCCTACCTCAAGTGGAGGAGTTTAAGTATCTCGGGGTCTTGTTCACGAGTGAGGGTAGGAGGGATCGGGAGATCGACAGGCGGATTGGTTCGGCGTCTGCAGTGATGCGGACGCTGAGCCGATCTGCCGTGGGGAAGAGGGAGCTGAGCCAGAAAGCCAGGCTCTCGATTTACCGGTCGATCTACGTCCCAATCCTCACCTATGGTCATGAGCTTTGGGTAATGACCGAAAGAACGAGATCGCGGATACAAGCGGCCGAAATGAGTTTCCTCCGTAGGGTGGCCGGGCTCAGCCTTAGAGATAGGGTGAGGAGCTCGGACATTCGGGAGGGACTCGGAGTAGAACCGCTGCTCCTCCGGATCGAAAGGAGCCAGTTGAGGTGGTTTGGGCATCTGGTCAGGATGCCTCCTGGACGCCTCCCCGGGGAGGTGTTTCGGGCATGTCCTGCCGGCAGAAGGCCCCCGGGGCGACCCAGGACACGTTGGAGAGGTTACATCTCCAATCTGGTCCGGGAACGCCTTGGGGTCCTGCCGGAGGAGCTGGTGGACAAGGCCGGGGAGAGGACGGCCTGGAGCTTCCTAGTTGGGATGCTGCCCCCGCGACCCGGACCCGGATAAGCGGAGGAAGACGATGACGACGATATATAACAGGCTGTAAAAATAAAGCAGTGTCTAAATTCCACAAGGTATTTTTTAAAATAAATAAAAAGATATTTAATTTTTGATAATGCAGAGTCTCAAAAATATATAATTTACATATGTAATACTTTTTTTATTCGAACAAGGGCCTTCATTCGAAAAAAGGGTGCCCAGTGTCAAGATGGAGAGCCAACACAGAGCCCCACACCCTTCAAAGAGACTCCTCATCCTGTGGAATCCTTGTTTTGAAGGTATGTGTTGGATAAAACCGGCATTGGATGTATGGATGTATGGAAATGATTTTGTCTGGGTACCATCTGGTGTTTTTTAATTCAAACAAGGGTTCATTCCTTGTTCATATTTTGTTATTATTCTGTGCCTCCGGTAGGGAAGTTCGACCTTGTAAGTCTGCAGTTCTGTTATTACAAAAAGCTCCCTTGTGAAGTCCAGACGGAGCGTTTCTCTGTTATACCAAGAACCTGGGAAGGTTTGCTTTCTGTGAAGGGGGTGGGTGTGTTTATCTTTAATGTGTGTGTGCTATGTTACTTTTGAATAAAACCTTTTTGCGAGCTTCTGCTCGTCGAGAGACGGAACAGACAGCCAATGGTGTGTATCTTCTTTCTCTCCGATTTTGCAAAGTCTGGTTGTTGATTATTGGTGATTGATCATATTGGTAAATGGTAATCTAAAACCTAATATCTCTAACCCCCTTGTGTGTGTTGGACTTTCTTTGAGGTTGATTAAATCTGGATTGATTAAATAAAAATACCCAACAGTATGTCACGTGTTGTGTAGTGTTTTGGAAACTTTAGATAACAGTAAATTTTTCTTATGTAATATGAGATTATTTTTAAACAACATGAAGTTGACTGTGTCAGATAACAAAAATAGTTTTCTGCCAAAAGTGTTTAACATGTCTTTGTGTTTGACATGTTTGTCATTAGTATGCAGAAAATCTTCTCAAAGCTGTTTGAAAATCACAGCTCTGCAATGTCACATTCCCAAAAAGATATTGGACTGACACTGATGGATGAGATGGGTAGTTTTTCCAATATTTGAATTATTTGATTATTCTATCAATTATTTGAAAAATAGCACATTGATGAAGTTATAAGGAACAATTTGTGTTTTCATATCATCAGATGACCTTAGCGAGTTGTGCCACCACTGTGGGGAGAAATGCTTGGATGGAGGACAACTGAACGGGAAGAAAAATCAAGAGCAACCTACCACATGGGTAAATGTGTTCTCCCTAAATCCCCGCAAAAAATTAATTATTCTTTAACAGTTTTTTCATAGGTTGACTGAAAAGGTCAAATGAAAGCAGTATTTGTTTTTTCATTTATTCTTACAGATTCAGTGTGACGACTGTGACCGGTGGTATCATAAAGACAGTGTTGGAAACCCAGACCCCACGAAGGCATACCACTGAAGCCTGTGGAAGAAGAAAAGATTGTCTGCACCCTACCATGTCCTTTTCTGTTGCATTTTGCAAGTGTATTTTTTCTGTTGTTTTCACATCTAAAAAGTTTAGTACAAAAATAATGCTTTCATGTTCTAACAATTAAACACTAAGATTTCATTTGAATAATTATTTAGTTAGATTTTTGGAAAAGTATTCTACCTTTTTCTCATTTTTACCACACTGGGCAGGAATATGTGTGGCTGATGATCAAAGCTAGGAGAAAAAGAAATCAGTACAGTTAAAGATTTTTAAAAAATCATACGCACCCCTTTTCATATCATTTTCTGTTACATGTTGAAAGGGTATTTTTTCTAATATCAGGAGAGCTAAAAGGTTCAGTACCAAAATAATTACCTCATGTCCTAAAAATCAAATGCTAACATCTAATTATGAATTTAGATTGCAGGATTTAATGTTGTGTTGTGGAGTGTCAGTTTTTCAAGTTTTCAATTTGTTAAAATAAAAATTTTGGTGCAAGACTATGTGGCTGATGTTACAGTAAGGTCGCACAATATGATAGTGTCTATCACACCTCAGTAATAATGTAGATGTCAGAGGTCAAATGCACTTTTTTATAAACTACATCATCAGAGAAGTTACCAGAAACAGTTTGTGTGATGTAAAAGTCATTATAACTGAAGTTACAGTAAGGTCACACAATATGATAGCGGCTATCACAGAATGTGGCCATCTGCATCTCAATAATTATGCAGATGTCTTTAATTTTCACTAAAGATAATAACAAAAGGCGTTTTGTGATGTTTGTGTCATTTTATTTCCCTTTTATCTCCACCAGTACATATGACATTGGAGTGACAGGAAAAAAACCGTAGCAACCAGATAATCTGCAGTGGTTCTAATAAACAGGATGAGGATCACAACAATTTATTTCAATAAATGGATGTTCTGATCAGTTTACCTGCGGACCTCGCATGTTGTAAAATCAATGTTTAACATTAGCAAACATTTCTTGTCAAAGCCCTGCTTATCGCTGCATTTATTGTCCCGTTTGTTTGCAATAAACATTAACAAACGCTCTATATCCACGGTCCGCGCCGCACAACTTCCTCAAAGCTTACGTAGTTCACGGTTTTAACGTAGCATCTTCTTCTTTTATGCCAATTCAGGATGTACAGATGCAACAAAACGCAACAAACGCTCCCTGGGGTCACAGATAGTGATGGGTTGCAGAATATGGTTTAACACCTGTTTCTGTCCATGGTGTCCCGACCTTAAAGAACCACTACAAATCCAAATGAACCGCCCTACAAGTAGTTTTATGTTGACGATTGAGTTTTGTGTCTATTTACCTGTTCAGATGTTCTTTATACTGAACTGTCACACAAATCTGATTTCCACTGACAACCACGTCTAAAACACATTTTTTTTTAATGTTAGTGATATTTTAGAAAAATGGTCAGTTGAATTGTCTTCTCATGACACAACCATATTTTGGATATTATTGTATGTTGAGACAAACTCACTGGATACTGTTAAAGTGGTGTTGTTGAGGTGCTCATTTTCCAACTTGTCAGTTTTAGGCTACTGAGATTTGAGAATGAATGTTTTTTGAGGACATTATGTTAAAAAGTCAAATAACGGAGAAAGCATACTTTATTACTATCTGTCATTGTAACTAATTCAGTTATGCATAGGTGGAAAACGTTTTTATTATTATTTTTAAAAGTGAGACAAAATTGTCTTGAGCATAAAATGAGCCTGTTCCAAATTTAGCCATGCTCTTCTCCTCTAGTTGCACACGCTTTATAAAATTACTCACATTAAAAACGACACTGATAAAATGCATTATGTAAACTCATACATGTTTGAGGTCATATTTAATTTAACAGCCGTTTAGTTTGCTGAGATTCAGACCGAACAGCTGACAGCTATTCAAAAACAACTCTATGATCTACCGTCAATATGAAAAATAGTATTTTTTTCTTTTGTTTCTATATGGCTGGAAGTTTAAAATGTAATCCTGCAGAGAGCGCTGCAACAACACAAACACAAACACCACACACACATATTGGTGTTTTTGCAGTCTGCACTTTTACATATGCACCAGATGATGGCGCTGCAACCAATATTTACATTAATATAGAGACTTTTATGGACTTCCCTTTGAAACGCTTCAGTATACACTTTCTATTGAATCTCAAGGAAACATAAGATAATACTCTTATATTATTCAAAGTAGTAATACGCACATGGATTTGTTTTAATCTGGTGTTTATTAAAATGATGATCTATAAAACAAGTAAAATTGAAAACATTCTAGATTTTTGATTTTTTATGTCTACATTTTCTAATGCAGAGCAGTTTGAGTTGAGACTGAACATTTCCTCTCAGTAACTCTGTAATGTTGCTAATAAACTCAGTTCTGGTGGTGTCTTAAAAAGGAGGAACAGAAGGATGCTCCTCGCAGCTCGTGCGCGCAGACACGCACAGACTTGCGCCTCTCCCCGGTGAGATCTCCCTGCTGCCTCAGAAACGCGTCGTCCCTCTCGGTGAGAGGATTCTGCTCACCGTTTCTTTTTTCCCGCAGCCTGCACCATTTCCCCTCCTAAGCCCACTCCTTCATTTCCGCAGTGGCACCACGGCTTTGTTGACTCACACGTCCGTGCGTGGCTGCTGAAGGTGCAGCGATGTGAAGAGATGAGGCACGGGGAATAAAGAGCTCGACTGGCAGGATTCATGGGAACAACATAAGGCTGCGTCTGTGACAAACTAGTGCAAGGTAAGTCAGAGAAACCCGTGTCCCTCTCACACAGGAACCATGGACACCTCTCACCTGAGATCTTCTGTTAAGGAGACACGTCTCATGGGATTTATCCACTGCTGCTGCTATCTGTTTAAAAACAACATGGACAGAAAAAAATAAAACTTTGTCACAGTCATCCTGCTAATCACCACTGATTGTTCATGTCTGGTATAGGGAAAGTCTGGGAAGGTCCCAGGTGAAGATGCCAATCTGGAGAAGAAACCATCAAGTTGGTAAGGTTTTATTTGTTTTAGGTAACCAAGAAAATAAGAGTGGATGAAGTTTACTAACCAACATCAACAGCCTTCTCCGTGTTGGGTTGTGGAATGACCTTGTTTTCAGGGACAGAACACATTGTTTTCAGGGTTTTCTCTCAAAACTGATCCCATAAAAAGCTCCCTCTATTAGGATGAGACCCAAGGGGACTTTTCCCAGAACACAGGCCCCACCGTGAGTTGTTTGGACACGCACGCAGGCCTACCTACCTACCTTAGCAGAAGTTTCTTGCCAAATGAGGTCACCATTCTGCAAGGAGAATCCTCTGAAATGAACAACAATCCGTTTTTAATTATTAATGCATCGTAGTAACTGATAGCTGGATGATCTCAGCTGGAGTGTGAGATCATCTGTCCTGTTGCCACTCATTACATGTTTTAATGCATAATTCAACACTGATTTAACCTTGTTTCACTACAACTGGTGTCTGCCTGTGAAAGAAGTGTGAGATCGTTTCTGATAGCGGATAAGTTTTGTCATTGAGACTGTAGCCAGTGGTGTTTGTTAATGGGAGGCTATTTCCTGTTGTGACATGAGGAGCAGAAGAAGCCCAGACACTGGGCAAGTTGAAACAAGTGAGTTGTTCACTTATCAATTCTGTAAACCGGATTCTTGCACATCCCTCTTTTTTATGACATTTCCTCAGAAAAAGGTAAAACATGACGATGATACAGTGTTGCTAAATCTGTTGATAGCCTTCCTTCCTCAAGCACACTTCCCCTACAAATTTCATATTTTACCTCAAGCCCCAGAACTCTCCTGCAGCACTTTCTAATAATCAGTTAGCTTTGTATTAACTTGGATTATCAGTCAAACCAGGAGATGACTGACAGCTGCTGTAAAGGCTTTTATGCAAATATGTAGATCTTCTTTTTAAATGTCAACAGATTTAATTTAAGTGTTTTTGAAATTGATTGGATTGTTTATGGATCACAAGAAACTGTGTTTTCACCTTCGAATGCAAAGAACGCTCAAAGCAATCCCAAATTTTTGAGTGGTATCATGTTTATCTGATGCCTGAGAAGGAAACACTGGTAAATAAGAGCTACAAACTGTTGATTTCCAAAAATAAAACAAACTTTCTTTTTTTGTGGCTTTAAAGATATCCATCCATCTATTTTTGTCCACTTGTATGGAGTCGGGTCGCAGGGGCAGCAGCCTAAAGAAAGCGGCCCAGACTTCCCTCTACCCAGCCACTTCAGCTAGCTCCTCCAGGGGAATCCCAAGGCCAGCTGAGAGACATAGTCCCTCTAGCACATCCTGGGTCTTCCTTTAGGTCTGCTCCCGGTTGGACTTGCCCAGAAAACCTCAAAAGGGAGGCATCCTGGTTCCTCTTGATGTGGAGGAGCAGCGAATCTACTTAGAGCCCCTCCTGAATGACCGAGCTTCTCACCCTATCTCTAAGGGAGAGCCCAGCCACCCTGTTGAGAAAACTTTTTTCGGCCGCTTGTATCCGCAATCTTATTCTTTCGGTCACTAGCCAAAGCTCATGACCTTATGTGAGGGTTGGAACTTAGATCGACCAGTAAATTGAGAGCTTCGCCTTCTGGCTCAGCTCTCTCTTCACCGCAACAGACCGGTACAACACCCACATCACTGCAGATGCAGCACCAATCCGCCTATCGATCTCACACTCCATCTTACCCTCACTTATGAACAAGACCTTGAGATACTTAAACTCCTCCACTTGGGGCAGGACCTTATTCCTGACCCAGAGAAGACATTCTACCCTTTTTCTGACTGAAGACCCTGGTCTTTAAAAATAGATCTCGTTAATTACAGTGAGGCAAAAAAGTATTTAGTCAGCCACCGATTGTGCAAGTTCTCCCACTTAAAATGATGACAGAGGTCAGTAATTTACATCGTAGGTACACTTCAACTGTGAGACAGAATGTGAAAAAAATCCATGAATTCACATGGCAGGATTTTTAAAGAATTTATTTGTAAATCAGGGTGGAAAATAAGTAATTGGTCAATAACAAAAATTCAACTCAATACTTTGTAACATAACCTTTGTTGTTAATAACAGAGGTCAAACGATTACTATAGGTCTTTACCAGGTTTGCACACACAGTAGCTGGTATTTTGGCCCATTCCTTCATGCAGATCTTCTCGAGAACAGTGATGTTTTGAGGCTGTCGCCGAGCAACACAGACTTTCAACTCCCTCCACAGATTTTCTATGGGGTTGAGGTCTGGAGACTGGCTAGGCCACTCCAGGACTTTCAAATGCCTCTTACGGAGCCACTCCTTTGTTGCCCGGGTGGTGTGTTTGGGATCATTGTCGTGTTGGAAGACCCAGCCACGTTTCATCTTCAAAGCTCTCACTGATGGAATGTTTTGGCTCAGAATCTCACGATACATGGCCCCATTCATTCTTTCCTTAACACGGATCAGTCGTCCTGTCCCCTTAGCAGAAAAACAGCCCCAAAGCATGATGTTCCCACCCCCATGCTTCACAGTAGGTATGGTGTTCTTGGGATGCAACAGTATTCTTCTTCCTCCAAACACGACGAGTTGAGTTTATACCAAAAAGTTCTACTTTGGTTTCATCTGACCACATGACATTCTCCCAATCCTCTGCTGTATCATCCATGTGCTCTCTGGCAAACTTCAGACAGGCCTGGACATGCACTGGCTTCAGCAGCGGAACACGTCTGGCACTGCAGGATTTGATTCCCTGTCGTTGTAGTGTGTTACTGATGGTGACCTTTGTTACTGTGGTCCCAGCTCTCTGCAGGTCATTCACCAGGTCCCCCCGTGTGGTTCTGGGATTCTTGCTCACCGTTCTCATGATCATTTTGACCCCACGGGATGAGATCTTGCGTGGAGCCCCAGATCGAGGGAGATTATCAGTGGTCTTGTATGTCTTCCATTTTCTGATAATTGCTCCCACAGTTGATTTTTTCACACCAAGCTGCTTGCCTATTGTAGATTCACTCTTCCCAGTCTGTTGCAGGTCTACAATTCTTTTCCTGGTGTCCTTCGAAAGCTCTTTGGTCTTGGCCATAGTGGAGTTTGGAGTCTGACTGTTTGAGGCTGTGGACAGGTGTCTTTTATACAGATAATGAGTTCAAACAGGTACCATTAATACAGGTAACGAGTGGAGGACAGAAAAGCTTCTTAAAGAAGACGTTACAGGTCTGTGAGAGCCAGAGATTTTCCTTGTTTGAAGTGACCAAATACTTATTTTCCACCCTGATTTACAAATAAATTCTTTAAAAATCCTGCCATGTGAATTCATGAATTTTTTTTTCACATTCTGTCTCTCACAGTTGAAGTGTACCTATGATGAAAATTACTGACCTCTGTCATCATTTTAAGTGGGAGAACTTGCACAATCAGTGGCTGACTTTGCCCCACTGTATAACACTGAACATGTATCTTAAATGAAGGATTACCGTTAGGTGACAGCGGGATAGGATCACGACTCATCTTCCATTACAGGGAAAGTTTTAAGTAATTGTTATGTATAATATTCACAATTGGATTTTGATCTTGTGTTTCTAGAGAAGGAACGCCATGTAAAAGCAAACGCTCGAGAATACAACGACAAGTTCCGCTATGCTGTAAGTAGACCTCAAAACTGCGCAAGTCAGGATTTTCTCAGCTGTGTGTCTGAATGTGCTCCTCTTCAGGACAATCGCATCAAAACATCTAAGTACAACATCTTTACCTTCCTGCCTGTCAACTTGTTTGAGCAGTTCCAGAGGGTGGCAAATGCTTACTTTGTAGTTCTATTGATACTGCAGGTATGAAAAGAAACCACTGCTGGTCTGATTTCAGCTTTCTGGAGGTAAAACTAACAAACGCATCTTTTTCAACAGTTAATTCCAGAAATCTCCTCCCTGTCTTGGTTCACAACCATCGTGCCTTTGGTTTTGGTGCTGGCAATTACAGCCATCAAAGATGCTACTGATGATTTTGTGAGTTCCTCTTATTTACTCTAATTTATTATTTAGAAAATAATACTAACTGTTTTTATGAAATTGTTGCTCCTTTTATAATTTCAGTTTAGACACAAGAGCGACCAGCAAGTCAATAACCGACAGTCTCAGGTTCTCATCAGGGGAAGGTACTTTCTTGTCATTAATGGTTTTTCTGTTATTTAAGTGTTTTGCTAAACTATCATGAAACATTTGTTTGGACTTGTTAAGTTTACAGAGTGAGAAATGGATGAATGTTCGAGTCGGTGACATCGTCAAGCTGGAGAATAATCAGTTTGTTGCTGTGAGTAAATTAAACGTCCATGTGCTGCAAACTGTTGTGTATTAAGTGATTTTTAAAAGTATTTGCCCCATTCCAGATTTCTTCTGTTTTAACTTTTTAGTTTCTACATCAGACAAAGATGACCTGAGGGAAAACAAAATGTATTATTTCAAATGGCCGTGTGAAACATTAAGCAGCTGCAACAGCTGTATTAACCAAGTGAGGCCTGCAGGGCTTGATGCTGTTTTAGGTTCTTTAGGTCTTTACTTTTTTTTAGAACGGGGCATGATGTGCTGCTTTTGAGATCTTTGAGCCTACTTCATGCTGTCAGACAGTGTCTGTCCAAGTTTTCTCAGTTAATTCATGATTTAACAAGATTAATAATTACTTTTTCACACAGAACCATGTTTGTTTGTATAGCTGATTGTCATTAATAACTTAAATCATGATTTGGAAACTCGTGTTATCTTTGTCTGATGTAAAAACATATATAGCAGCAGACTTTTAACAGAAGGTTTAGGCTGCTGATGCAGAACCATTTATTGCCTGCTGACTGTTTCTTTTTTTTTTTTACATGCAGGCAGACATCCTTCTGTTGTGTAGCAGTGAGCCTTATGGTCTGTGTTACATTGAAACCGCAGAGCTGGATGGGTGAGTTATGTAACGTTAGATGAGCAAATGAAAGGAAACAATTGTAAGGGGTCTATCAGCTCATTTGTAATTTTTGATTTTTCCTAAAACAGCGAGACAAATCTTAAAGTCCGCCAGGCTTTGAGTGTCACCTCAGATCTGGGAGATGTTTCAAAACTGATGGACTTTGATGGTGAGATGATGCACGTTGTTTGTTTTCATTTTTCTGCATAAAATTAATGCTCAGTTACATAAAATGATTTATTTGAACCCCCTTTCAAAATCACCTAGAGTAATTTTCCTAACTGAGGTTTAAAATTGCCTTTTTTTTGTCATTATTCCTCAGGAGAAGTCATCTGTGAGCCACCAAACAACAAGCTGGATAAGTTTACTGGGACTTTATTATGGAAAGACAGTAAATACTCTCTGGATAATGAAAAAATGCTCCTGCGAGGCTGTGTTCTCAGAAACACCGAATGGTGCTTTGGAATGGTCATCTTTGCTGGTATTTTTCTATTTGTAAACATATTAGTTTCAATATTTGTAGGTTATTCTCTCTTGAACCATATTCATAGGCTGATGAGGCGTTTTTTACATCCAACAGGGCTGCAAACCAAACTGATGCAGAACTGTGGAAAAACTAAATTTAAGAGGACCAGCATTGACAAGCTAATGAACACTCTGGTTTTATGGGTGAGAGAGACTGTGGCAAGCCATTTTAACTTTTATTAGGCAGATTGGTTATGTATTTCAGATATCCATAATTATATTGTTCCTGGCAGAAATTAACATTCCAGATATCCACAATAGCATTCCTACTATCCTGAATGAAAATTTTCAGGTATCTGAAATGTCACATTTCCTGTTCATGAGTATTGGGTTCATAGCACCTCCTATCCGTAAATATATTCCTCCCGTCAAGAATGAACACTGTGGATAGGAGGCGCTAAAAACCCAATACCCATGAATGGTAAATGTGGCATTTCAGATATCTGAAATGTTCATTCTGAATAGAATGTTCTCATGGATATCTGGAATGTTATTTTCTACCAGGAACAATAGAGTTACAGATATCTGGATTACATATCCAGTCTGCTTAATTAATGGTAAAACAGCCACCTTAATTTTATAAGAATTTGAAGATATCTCAATCTTAATTCCTACTGGTACAGTTGGTATTTTGGATATCCTTAATTGTAATTTCTTCTAGCAGACAAATGGCTGTTCATATCTTCATTTGCAATTTTGACTCGTAAGAACATATTTAATATGAGGACAAATTATATAATTGCATTACAAAACAGGAATGAATGAAAGGTCCGTTTTTGATTAAATGTTAAAACGGCTTACCACAAAGAGACACAGTTACAGGCTGACAGATATGTTTAAAATGGTGTTATTGGTTTTTGAGCCTTTAAAAAAGATATTGTGTTATATTTCAGATCTTTGCGTTCCTCACATGTATGGGAGTTGTTTTGGCTATTGGAAACACAATTTGGGAGACTTGGATTGGCAGAAAGTTTGAGGTGTTTTTGCCCTGGGAGCAGTTTAAGAACAGTGCTGTCTTCTCTGGCTTCCTCACCTTTTGGTCCTACATCATCATCCTCAACACTGTGGTGCCCATCTCTCTGTATGTCAGGTAAAGAAAAAGAATGTCTTCACTATTATACACAATATGTATAATTCTTGTTGAAAGAACGTTGTCTAGACTTGACACATTTTTTGTTTCAGTGTGGAGGTCCTACGACTCGGTCACAGCTTCTTCATCAACTGGGACCAGAAGATCTACCACGATCAGACGGACACCTCCGCTGAAGCGCGAACCACCACCCTAACCGAGGAGCTTGGGCAGGTGGAGTTCATCTTCTCCGATAAGACCGGCACGCTCACGCAAAACATCATGGTGTTCCGCAAGTGCTCCATTAATGGACAGACCTACGGTATGATTAGTCACTGAATCTCTCCACACAAAGATTAACTTGGTAAATTAGTTAAATATAAAAAAAAATTGACT